CGTCCGTCCCTTTGTAGGCGTTCAATTCTATAGTTGAGGAAATCGAGGGACGCGACCCACTTCGCCACAGACGGTCCCGCGCCTCGCCCCTAAGACGGGTACACGACCGCGGCTCGTGTGCGTGTACCCGTTTTTGTCCGGAGTGAAAAGTCCAACGCGCTCGTCGGTGGCGGCTTCCCTCAACCTGCGCCGCGCTCGGCGAACCTCGACAGCGCTTTCGGTGGCATGCAGCTCTTTGCGACAGAAGCCTGGAGAGCAGCTCCTCTGCTGCTCACACACTCTGCACAGTTGACACAGCCTATTGTGCGGCTGCCACAGCTGTGACAGCGATGGGCTCGCCCTCACTGGCCCTCAGTCACTTGTGCTGCGGCTTGTGTGAGCGACACTGCTCGGCGACTGCCGGCACACTGTGAGACCATGGGTTTGAGGTTAAACCACGCTACCAGCGCTTGGTCACATCGGCCCCGAGGTCAGATCCTTCTACTCTGTTGATGACAAGACTTGTCTACTGGCTGGAGCCGAGCAGGAGGGCCCAGCGCACAACCCCTGGTCAACTCAGGGTCCACACCCCGTATATAGCGACACATCCAATTCTCGGTCAGGTGTAGTGGATCACCTTAAAATCCTGGATTAATTCCTGAGCCCACCCGGCCCCACCAGACGGGTGGCGCGAGGTGCCCGGGCCACTTTTTAGCGCCTCCCGAGCCTCCCGGCGCCTCCGGTGGCCTCCTGAGCCCTCTCCCGCAGCCTCTCTCGGCGACGTGGGGAGCGGCTGCCGTCCACGGCTCGCACCGGCTCTTCCAGCGGCTCCACGCTTGCCGCCCGTGGCGCCCGCGCCACGCACTGCCACGCGGCCGCTCGAGAGAGCGGTCGACGCCCATACTGCTGGGCGTGGCGCTCTATCGGTCGACGCTTCGGCGTCGCTGCTTGGCGGGGGACCCGTGCCTCGACGCGGCGGCGCGGCCGAGTACGGCTCGGTGGCTCAGCGCGTCGCCACGGATGAGATGCGTTCCTGCATGTAGGGGGAAGCTCCAAGAATGTTTCGTTCTACTTGCAGGAGAGGTCCAAGTAATTCGAGTGACTGCATGGCTCTTCGCGTCGAGGGATGCGTCCAAGATAATGACTTGCTCGATTGGAAGCGCCGTGTCTTGCGGCACGTGTTGTGACAAACTAGCCGCTATTAAAGAATATGGGAATGTTATCTAGTTAAGGCGAACAAACCGAGCGACACCTCAGATAGACTCTCACTGAGAGACCACCTCAAACAGAGACAGACCTTAGACAAATAAGAGACAGGGACACACACACATACACATACACGCGCGCGGTGTACCCGCTGCGTACGTCATGCGCCTGAGCCTATCTCTACTCGCATGCGTCCTCAAACCTGCCCGCACGCGAGGTCGTACTCGCTGCGGGCGAGGTAGACAGGAAGGTATAGAGATCGCGAGACGGCGACCGTCGCCAACTCGTCGCGACAGGCGACGGATGATGTCACGCGCGTGCGTCGTATGTGCGCGGCCGACTACATCGAAAGCTCCAGCGCACACCCGAAACAAAGGTGGCCACAAAGAGAGGAAAGTCACTACTGACGAACAAGCAGCCAGCACAACAACAGCACACTCTAAAGTAAGCTCTAAGGCGCCGTAGGCGGTGTCTCCGAGACAGTGTCTGCACACACACCACACACACACACGCCGCACACACGCACACGAACACACACACACACGCGCGCGCACGCACGCACACCATGGCACAGGCAAGAAACACACGCATGTCACCGCTACGAACCGGTGGCGGCCACCACCACTTCCCCGCGCGTGACCTGGCCGCCACCAGCGGCGGCGTCGCCAACAACGACCGCCGAGACCACCGCCAAGGCGCTGGGGCGGTACTGCGGGTTGTTCGAGCCAGGGCACCGCTGGGACGTTGGGCCGTGCGCAAACATCAGCCCGGTTTTGATGAGCTTCGTCGACTTGTATTTGCAGCCTTCATACGTACAGCGCCACACCTGTGGTGCTGCCGCGGCGGGCAGCGGCGCGTCCGCAAGAGGCAGAGCGGCCAGCGGAAGCGCAGCTGCCGGCGCCTCGGCAGCCTCGCGGGCCACGGCGAGCGTCCTGTTGATGGCGCCAAAGTCGTAGACGTTGCGGATGGCCTCCGCGTCCTGGTCGGTGTATCCTCCGGAGTTGAAGTTGCTCGTCCACCCCATCGCGTTGAGGGCGACGGGGATTGCCGCGCCGTCGACAGCGAGGAGGACCTCGTTCGGCAGCTCCTGCTTTGTGTGCACGTCGAACGTCGGCGTCGAGCCGAGCCACTCGAGGAAGGAGACGGTGGGCGAGTAGAGCCACTTGAGCTCCGACGTCTTCTTGTCGTTGACGTTGGGCAACGCGAGCACGAGCAGGGGACGTGTGGAGTTCGTGAGAAGCCGGCACGCGGCGTTGCGCGCCACCAGCGGCGACGTGTGCGTCCGCCTCGCCACCTTGACGCCGTCAAAGGTGGTCGCCCACGTGCTGACGCCGTTCGGGTACTGCTGGCACTTGGCTAGGGACGGCGTGCAGAGCCTGCGGTACTGGGACGGCTCGTCGTCGGTGCCCATCAGGCGCTCGAACGCCTTGCGGCCGTCGACGCACACGCACACCGCGCCGCCCTCGCCGTAGACGGGCTCGTGCACTCCCAGCTCCTTCTTCGCCTCTCTCATCGCCTCGCGGACCTCCTCCGGCGTGGAGAGGAGCCGCTCACCGCGCAGGTCGAGCGCGTCCACAATCGGCGCGAGGATGACGGGGATGAGGGACTGAATGGACCGGTCAGAGAGGTTGAAGAGGAGCTTGAGGATCAGGGTGGGCTGCGCGTGAGGGGGTGGGGTGGGCGGAGGTGAGCGCGGAGCGTCGAGGCGCCGGGAGGGCGGGGACGCCGAGGGCCAGGGGAGAGTCGAGAGTAGTCGCTGCAGAGTGACCGTAGCGAGAGGAGAGGCCGACCCGAGAGAGAGTGGCGGGGCGCGGGAGGGAGGTGCGAGGGCACGCCGCACCTGTCGGCGCGCCGCTGCCAGCAGCGGGGCGAGGGCCTCGGCGCGCGACTCGCGGAGCTTCGACGCCATGGTGGGGTGCCGCAGGACGGCCGCCGCCACCTGCGAGTGGTAGACGAGCAATCCGACGCAGCCCTCGATGACGTCGTCGCTGACGAGGTGCGCGGACGGGTCGGCGGCGTCGGCGTACGACGAGTTAACCTGGCCGAGCGAGTCCGACAGCGACTCGAGCTCCTGCGTCTGCCCCGGCGCACAAGCGGACCGGATCGCATCCCAGACGGCAGCGAGCCGCCGCTTGCGCTCCGGCAGCGGCCGGAGAAGCCGCCCGCGCCGCTCGCGAGGAAGTCGCGCATCTTGGCGAGCATCGTACCGCGCGTGTCGCCGGTCAGCGAGTCGACATACGCCTCAATGCAGTCCCATGCCTCGCCGGCCTCGAGCCCCGCCAAGCCGCCATCGTCGGCCGCCCCGCCGGCTGCGCCGCCCAGAGAGAGCTTCAGGCTGCCGCTCGTGAACAGCGACTCCAGCAGCGACACACCCGAAGCGCTGAGGCCGCCCCCGGCTTTGCCTGCGAACTTGCTCTTGCTCGGCGGGTGCAGCAGGACGAGGGTGAGCTGCTCGAGAGTCACGACCGGCTGCAGCTGCACGTGGCCCACAGGGTACTCGACCAAGGCAAAGTACTGCATCTGCCCACTGCAGCCATTGTTGAAGGCCTTGCGCCCGATGTTTGGCAAGAGGAGCTCAGTGGTAGTGGAGAAGCTCCCCTTTGGTGCATTGAACACCAGAGACGCAACCGCGCTCAGCGAGATTACCTCCCGAGCCGCCAAGTGCTGAACACTGCCTTCCTGTGCGCGCACATACTGCGTGCCGTTCATGCGGAAGGAAGAGCCGTCAGGGATGATCTCGAAAGGCGGCGACTGCACGCCCACATTGTGCACACGGAGCTCCACGGTGCCGCCTCCGATATCCAGCCTCAGCACCGGCGGCGGAGCGGAGAGGTCAGTGTTTTCGTCGTCCGCCGACGATCGCTCTGCAGCCTCGCTCATCTCTAGTGCGGCACAAAGGCGACGATTGACGCCGATCACGGAGGAGGCGACGGCGAAGCACAAGCAGGCGGGCTCTCTATGCGAGCTTGTCTCGACTTGTCGCGGCGCCGGCTTTGTCTTTTCTTTTTACCGGTTGTCCGAGACATTCCCAAAACACATTAACACAACAAAGCTCGATACTCGTAGACGGAGAGAGAGAGAGATGGTCATATTGGAGTGACACAGACTAGTGAAAGAAATCACGACTCTCATAAATCTCTCTCAGACTAGACACTCTTCACTCAGCCAACTCGGCTGCCACACGATTCAATGTTCTGCAACTGAGACTCACCCGAGACCTGCAGGCTGCTCGTCAGCACTGCTGCACCAGTGGACACACAGGCAAGCTCACACGCGTGTCTGCTAGGTCGGCGGAGCTTGGTTGATGGGGGCGGCACCGCCCTGCGGAGAGCGGAGAGGGCGGCGCTCGCCTCTCCGGAGTGAGCAGGCGGCAGAGCGGGCGTCAGACACGTGAGCGAGCAGAGTCGGGCGATCGACGCGTGTGCCTGGATCTTTCGCGAGCAGACGGTCGTCGGCGCCGGGAAGACGGGAGAGAACCAAGCGTCCGGCGTGCGAGCGCGGGCTGCGGAGGGCCGGGGTGCGTGTGCCAAGGACGCGACAAATCACCGGTCGCAGCGCAGCCTTGCCCGCCACGCCGTGCCGGCAGACACGCGCGCGGGAGGTGCGGAGCGGGCTCGCGGTGAGTCGAGGTGGCCGAGACGCAGGACCGCCCGTGCGGCGAGGCTCCAGCAAGCGACTGTGCGGGGGGCGAACGGCGTGCGGGTGGGCGGTGGGCCGCGAGAGAGTCACGCAGCGGCGCAGGTGGGGCCGCAGGCTTACCGCAGGCTACGAGGAATCGGGCCGTCGAAGGCAGATACGAGGCGCAGCGAGTGCGAATACAGGAATAACCCGCACGCAACGTGCCGAACCGACCCGCGTGCACGATCGGAGCACCTCTGACGCGGCGCGAGAAGCGCTGAGTTGAGGTGCCGCGGCCCGCGGCTGCAGCGTGTCGAAACGGCGCTTTCGGAGGCGCCGCGGTGGTCGCCGAGCGCGCGGAATCGACGAGAAAATATGACGGCGTGCCGGCCGTGGGCCCGGACGACGGCGCTGGCGAGCCGGACCGAGGCCGCGGCATCACGGTGGCGAGCAGGAGGGGCTTAGGCTGTTTTCACGTGGAAGCGTAGGTGAGCCGAGAACGCTAATCCTGGGTAGGTTTGGCTGGGAAGTACGTTTCGTCGAAGTCCCTCGAGAGAAGAGAATTTCGGCGCTCCAAGTGCTCAGGGAAACTCTCTCGCTCCCTGGGAAATAACTTCCCGAAGAGAAAAAGAAAAACACTTTAGCTCCACGCCTCTCGCACACGCCTCCAGCACATGCCGGTCAACAAACGCGCACGCGAGGAGCCCGAGGAGGAGAGCATCGAGAAGCGGCTGGTCAACCTCATCGTCCGCATCGGCGACCGCTCGATAGCCGACCTCAATTCGCACCTCCGGGGCCTCGCCGCGGCGCTCACCGCCGAGCTGCCGACGTCGCGCACGCTCATCTATGACACCATCCTCGACTGCGTGCGCGGCCTGCAGCCCAAGGCGCCCATCTACGGCGCGCTGTGCGGCCTGCTCGCTGCCAACCCGCAGGGCGAGCCGGACGGAGTGGTCGCGGCCGACATTGTCGCGCAGCTCGGTCGCGAGCTGCAGGAGGCGCTCGACGTGCACGCGACCTTCTCGATCCGTGCCTTCTGCCGCTTCGCCATCGAGCTCGCCAATGCGCGCGTCGCCTCGGTGGACTCTGCGCTCGCGCTGCTCGAGACGCTGCTCGCGGTGACCGCCGAGCCCGGCGTGCTTCCCGCCCGGGCCGAGTGGTTTGCTTGCGTCGTGTTGGACAGCCTCGCCCTTGGCGGGGAAGTCTTCACGCGCGACGCGCCGGAGCGGTCCGCTGCACTGCTCGGCGCCGTGCGCGCCTACGCCGCCACGCGGGGGGCCGACGCGCTCTCCGCTCCGGCCCTGCTGCTGCCCTACGGCGGCGCCACGCGGCCGGGGGAGGTGACTCACACGGCGCCTTGAAAGCATCTCCCTCGCTCCAGCTCCAGATCTGTCCCCGATCCCGACCGCAGGTGACGGAGCACTTTGACGCCCTCTTCGCCCTCGTCGAGGCGAGCCGCCCGGGAAAGCCCGGGGCATGCAGCGGGGGCGGGGCTGTCTCTCGGCTGTCTCTCGGCTGTCTCTCGGCTGTCTCTCGGCTGTGTCTCGGCTGTCTCTTGGCTGTGTCTCGGCTGTCTCTCGGCTGTGTCTCTCGGCTCTAGGAGCGAGAAGCGGCGCTGCCGCCACTGGCGGGCCGGCACGTCCACCGCAACACCACAGACGAGCACACGCCCGTAGGCCCTCTCTTCGGACTCGTACCACTGGCGCTCCTCCCTCCTGCTCGCCCCGTCGCGCTCCTTCGCGTCGGAGCTGGCGGCGCTCGAGCCGCTGCCTCTGCCAACTGTGAGCGTGCCCGCACACACCCGCGGCTGCACCTACCCTTGCTTGCGGCGGCTGCGCCTCTGTTCCGAGCCCGCAGCCGACGGGGACGGCGACGCAGCCATGGGCGACGACGGCGGCGGCGGCGGCGGCGGCGGCGGCAGGCTTGGCCTGGTGGATCGGACGCTGATGGAGGAGTACGCGTGGCTGCTCGTGTCGCAGTTTGAGGAGTCGCACAAGGACGCGGCTAAGCTGCTGCACGGGCTCGCAGAGAATCTGGCGATCGATGCGTGCGAGCCGCTGGTGTGCGACAACAGCCTGCCCTTGGGGGGGAGAGGAGGGGGGGGCGCTGGCGCGACAACAGCCTGCCTTGGGGTGGAGGTTGTGTGTGTGTGTGTGTGTGTTGGTTTTTTTTTGGGGGGGGGGGGCGCACAGCCCCACGTCCGCAACGCGCGCCTGGCGCAGGTGGAGACGCTGCTTTCGATGCTGCTGCTGCTGCCGGCGCCGCGGCACCGCCAGACGTACTACGCGTGTCTGCTGCTCGACATCTCGCGGCTGCTCACTCCCGCGCCGCGCATGCTCGTTCGGGCGGTCAACACGCTCTACGCCTCGCTCGACCGCCTCGACGCCGAGCTCGCGATCCGGCTCGAGATTAGCCGAGATTAGCCGAGATTGGCCGAGATTGGCCGAGCTCGCGATCCCCGCTGGAGGCGCGCCCGGGCTGCCGCCAGCGCGTCACCCGCGCGAACAGGCTCGCCGACTGGCTTTCGTTCCACATCTCGCACTTTGGTTTCAACCTCGAGCCGTTCGAGGCCTCCTGGGCGCCGCGCTTGTCCGCCGGCGGCGCGGCCGGCGCGGCCGACGCGGCGGACGCGGCGGACGATGCGGCGGCGGCCGGCTCGCCCCGCGCAGAGCTGCCGCACGACGCGTTTGTGCGCCACATTCTGGACAAGTGCCTGAGGCTCGCCTACCTCGAGCGCCTCCAAAAGGGGCTGCCCGCGCCCTTCGTCTCCCACCTGCCGCCGCAGCCCGCCGGTCGCCTTCGCCCGCTCAGCCCTCTGGCCAGCCTCCGCCGCCGCGACTCATTTGCAGCCGCGTGGGGGCGCAGGCGCCGCCGCTTGGGGCGCCGTCGACCCGTCGGCGGTGGCGGAGCCCGGCTCGATGCAGGCCAAGTCCGTCTCGCTCCTCAACCGGCTCCGGTCACGGGCAGAGCAGGCGGGGAGATATGGGGAGATATGGGGAGAGCAGGCTCCGGTCACGGGAAGAGCAGGCTAGACACTTCCTAGACACTTCCTAGACACTTCCTAGACACGTCCTAGCCTCAACCGGCTCCGGTCACGCGCGGAGCAGGCGGGGAGATGTGGGGAGATATGGGGAGATATGGGGAGATATGGGCAGGCTCCGGTCGCGGGCAGAGCAGGCGGACGCGCCAAGCTTGTGTGTGTGTGGGGGGGGTCGCCTCCATATGCCGCCACGACGCGCCTCTGGGCAGAGACGGGGAGATGCGGGGAGATGCGGGGAGATACGGGGAGATGACGCGACGGCGCGCCCGCAGGCGGACGTGCTCGATTGGCTGCAGCGGGAGGTGCCGCCGGCCGAGCTGCAGACTCTGGTCGCGCACTCGCTGCTCGACGCGACATCTCTCCCCCTCTCTCCGCGCATCTCCCCGCATCTCCCCGTAGGTCGTGCACTCGCTGCTCGACGCGGGCGCCAAGAGCGTGTCCCACCTCGAGCGCCTCCTCGACAAGTTCAACTGGCTCGTCGCCGCCGCCGCGCAGGACGGGCCTGCGCGCGCGCGAGTCGTCGGCGCGGTGGCAGCCTACTGGCGCGCGCCGTGCCACACACGCGCCATGCCCCCCTTCGCAGCTGGTTTGCTCGAGAGACGCGCCCGCCCCTCTTGCGGACACAGGCGAGCCTCGCCGCACATGACGTGGCTCGTCCTCTCCAAGCTCGTCCGGCGCGCCGATTCGCCCGCCGCGGGCGTGCCCTCCTCCCCCGCCACGCCGAGCCGCGTCCCGTCGCCGACACAGGCGCGAGCTCGTCGACCCGCAGGCGCTGGTTGGCTGGCTCTGCTCCGCGCCTGAGCGGAGGCGACTCGCGTGGCCGTCGACGTGGGAGGGGTTGCACTTGCTCTTCGAGCGGTCGCTCTCGCACTTCAAGAGCGTCGAGGGCGAGCTCAAGGCCGAGGAGGACAAGTACGCCGAGTATGTCGAGATGATCGGCGGCGAGGAGGAGGGCAGCACCAGCGCGGCGGGGCGCACACACCCCTCTGTCGCACGCGCGACTTGCGCGACAGCAGCGCTCCTTGACGCTTGCGCGCGCGCGAGTAGGCAGCGCCTCGAAACCAAGAGGGCCATCTCGGAGCGCGCGCGGCGCGAGAAGAAGGAGCTCTTTGCAAACTTCTTCGCCGGCGTCTGCGGCGCGTTCGACGAGCACGCAAAGGCGGCGGCGGCGGCCGGCGCGCCGGTGGAGACCGCGTGGTGGAGCGCGGCGATCGGCCACGCTGTCGGCCTCTGCCGGCGCCACATCGCTGAGTACTCGCTTTCGAGCGTCGAGGCGGTGGTGGAGGTGGATGAGTTGGCCGCGGCCGTGCAACGCAGCGTCTTTGAGCGGCTCCGCGAGGTTTCGGCTTGGCAGCTGTGAGGGCGCGCAATGGGTTGTTGCGAAGACAACATGTGGGCGATCTCGCTCGCCTACAGGAGCGGGGCTCCTGGGGGGGGGTGGAGAGAAGTGAGAGGGTGTTTGGCCCGATGTGTGGGGCATCCTCCCACCTCCGCACAGGCGGGGGGGCGCACACGCGCGCGCGCAGTCTCCGCGTAAGACCAAAGCCGTAAAAGAGACCGAGAGCGGAGAGGCGAGAGCGACAGCGAGAGACTGCACCCCCTCACCCCCCCACCCCACCCCCCCCACCCCACCCCCGGGCGCGCTCTCACGCTTCCATGCGCCACACGCTACACGCCTCCCCGGCGCGGGACCCCACGCGCGCACCCAGAGCCAGACGGGAGAGGGGAGACACACTGTGTGCGGGGAAAATCGAAAATGGTAAATGGGGGGGCGGGCGAGACAGTCGCGCACCCCGTGTGCGATGGCGTGTGTGCGTCCGTGCGCGCGCGCAACGGCCAATGCACATGGTGAGGCCGTGTGCTTCCTTCCTTGCGTCGGCGCGGGCAAAGCTCGTCCAACCACGCACAAGGCGTCTCCTCTGAAAATATGTTTTGCAGACAGAGAGTACGAGTAGCGCCCGGTATTTTGCGTCGCTTAGCTCCGCGACCCCCCAATACACAACCGACCACCCCCACATCGTCCCGATCTGCGACCTGGTGCGGCGCGGCCGGCCCCCAGAGACCGGCGGTCTTCTTCGCACATCTCGCCTCACTCCTAGCCGCCCCCTCGTGACACCCCCCCGGCGACCTCCTGGCCGCCAAAGTCCCATGTCGCCTGCCGGCGTGACATCTTTTCTCTCTCGCGTCGCTGCCTCCGAGCATCGATTCGCGCAAGCACATCGGCTTGGTCTCCCTGTGAGGGCATTGAGGCGGCGCGGACGGTGGGAGAGTCGCCGCGGCGCGGGCAAACTTGGGGCCTCAACCCTCCCCCCTGCTGTGAGGCGCGCGTGGGATAACCGAGCGTATTTATCGCTGGGGCAAGTCGAGCGCGGACCTGCCGGACATGCACAAAGTGGCGTCGCTTGGGGAACCAGACCTTTTGGAACTCGACGAAGCCGGCCGTCAGTGCGAATAGCGTGTCATCGCGCCCGCGCCCGACGTTCTCCCCCGGCACAAACCGCATGCCGCGCTGCCGCACGAGGACACTCCCCGCCTTGCACTCCTGGTCACCGAGCACCTTGACGCCGAGGTACTTGGGGTTGGAGGAGCGCGTCACGCCGCCAGTGCCGCCCGCCTTCTTGCCCGCATGCCGCACCTGGCCCACCGGCGCGAGCGGCGCCGCAGCGACGAGCCGCAGCGACGAGACCCGACCGGCGAACGACGCTGCTCTCGCCAACATCGCTTGTCGCGGCTCCAGCCGATATGTGAAAAGAATTTTACATGCAAACTCCGTCGCACAAGTGAAAAGAATGGGAGAACAAAACGCCGTGCCACAACACTGGGCACGGGACTGGCGCGCACTGGCACTAACATATGTGAAAAGAATTTTACAAGCAAAGGCGGTCGCACGACACGATTCACGCGACTGTGAAAAGAAGTTTATGTGATCTGTGATCTGTGAGGGTCCGCCCGCAGGCGCATTTTGTATACCGAGGCGGTGCCCGGTGCCGAACCTGTCGGACCTTGAGACAGCAATCAGCATTGTAGATCCCTGGGCGAGGGTGATGGCGTCCCCGTCGGGAAGGGCTGTCTGCAGTGGTGGTCACTGCAACACTGGTCTACCGTCACCCGTTGGAAAATGGCCGGGTGGAGAGAGGGGCGGAGTCTCTCGTAGAAGCTAACCAGCCTAGAGATGACCCGACCCGACCGGCGGTGTCTCTCCGTAGAAGCTAACCAGCTTAGAGATGACCCCTAGACACTCACCTACCTTGCCGACAGCCCACTGCGTCCGTCTGAAGCACCTCAAGTACGCCGGTGAGACGCCCGAAACGGGGTGACTTCTAAAAGTCACTCCGCATGTGGGCCGCCCTCGCGGTCGTCTGACGCGCCCTCCGGCCGCCGCACACTCGCCACTCACCCCGTCTCACCTCTAGATGATGCGGCGGCGCGCACGGGGCACTGCGGCTGCCGGCGCCGCGGCGGCCGGCGCCGCCGCTGCCGGCGCAGGCGCAGGCTCAGGTCGCCGGTACGGCGATGGACGATCGCCGCGTCGCGGCGGGGGGGCGCTGCTGTGCCCGATGCGACGGCTCCTCTTCGAGCAGGTGCTTGGCAAAGCCGGTGAGGGTCGCCAGCTTTTGTCCCGACCGGGCTGCAGATCGCGTAGCCAACCTGGCTCGGGTCCGGGAAGCACTGTGTGCAGTGGTAGGACCGCATGTACCCGCACTGATGCTTCTTGCTTGAACACGAGCACAATAAACACGAGCACAGACGCCGTGTCGCCTAGGGCTGTCCGCCTCAAACGTCGCACGGCGCCTCGAATTCGCGCAGACCAATGTAGTCGATGCCGGAGCGTGCGCATTGGTATTGAGAGTCTGAGGTAGGCGGCGGCGCGCAGTAAGCGCAGTAACGCATGCATTCGATTTGGATACCGGCGCTTGCGTGGGAGCGCAGACAGCGTCGGCCGCGGTGTGCCAGCGAATGTGGTGGTCCTCTTGTCCACTGCGTCCGAGCCGAACCAGCTGTCCACACGAGAAGCGGCGGCGCGTGGAAGAGCCACGACGAGGTCGACCGCCTCGACCAGTCAGCCTCCGGCACAGCATTGGGTGCCTGCATGTCGCCGGGATTGCGTCGCTTGTGTCATCGCGTAGCGGTGCGGAGGCAGCGCCGTATATCGCCTCTTGCCCGCGGGGACGAGCGCTCCAGCGCAATCGTCTCGAGGAAGGAGAAAACAATTCTTGGAGGTCCACCTCAAAGCCCTGATAAATGAAAAACCCGTGCCCATGCCCAGACCGGAAACTCGAGCGAGCCCAAGCAGCGCCGGGACGCTCCTCTCCACCGTGATGCTCCTCGCCATCGTCGTCACCACGACGTGGCTGCGGACGGGCGTCGCCCACGACATCGTGCGCCCGCTCTCCAACGTCGCCGAGATCCCTGCCTCGCCTGCCAGGAGCGGCGTCGAGCTCATCGCTGGGCAGGTGCGCGGGTAGAGCTCTCCACCATACTCTGCCGCGATCCCGGCTGCTGCGAGCACGGCGCCGCCCGGTGCGCGCGAAATGACCCCTGCCGTTCCCGCGCGCACGCAGGTCGCCGAGGAGGACGTCGAGTGCCAATGCGCAAGCACGACAAATGTGCGCGCGTCCGCCGCCGCCATGCAGCCCCACCCCTCCCCGCCGTCGATTTCGTCGCCGTCCGTGCGCGCGCCGCCGTTCACTCCGCCGCCGCCGTCGCCCCCACTTCCGCCGCCCCCGTTTTGCGCCTCGCCGCCGCCGCCGTTCTCCTTTTCCCGCCGCCCGCGCTTCCCTCAGTCGCGCGCGTGTGCGGCTCGCCTGCGTCGCTGCCGCCCCCCCTCTCGCCGCCGCTCCCCTCACAGCCTCGTACAAGGGTGCCGCCGTCGGCGCCACAGCCTTGGCTCGCCCAAACGGTGACCCTCCCCCATCCCCCTCGGTTCGCCCCACCTTCTTCAGAACCAAATCCTCACACACACACCCCCCCACTGCGCCTCGAATCAGGTGCCATCGCCACGTTTCCGTCGGATGAATTATGTGGAATCGTACCCCTCGGTGGTTTCCAAACCTATTCAAAAATGGACGCTTACAGAAATCGGCAAAAATTCAACCGTCACAACACCATTGCGAGAGACGAGGAGTGACTCTTGCTCAAAGTGCACAAAGGGTGGCGCGATTTCGGTTGAATTCGCGTCACCACTCGCCGCCTCTCGCCGCCGATCGATGACGAAGAGGAAGACCGAACTTCGCCCCAACTGCGAAACGATTGCGATTGGCGTTGGCCTGAAGGACTTGCCCCGTTGCTGAATCTCGATGCACACCTTTCGCTGCGAAATTGGGAGCTCAAACCAGGTCATGTTGCCCCATTGCGGCTTGTCGGAACGCACCTTTCGGTGCGGCATTGGGCGCTGGAAGGAAATCAAGTTCAGCTGATTTCAAACGCCACCCGATACTACCACTCAGCTTCGTCTTGGGCTAGCCATAGATACCTGCTTCTTGATGAGCGCACAGAGTACTTTGAGTGGCTCTGCACCGTTCGATCACGATGCTTCGGATTGCCACCGGGCTTGGTCTCCCTCGGCGGCAACTCTGCATTTCTCAGCGGCTACGAAGCCGGCTCGGCTGTCGGATACCTCTGCGTCAAATGGGTGCGCATGCTCGTGAAATCACCTCAGAGTTGCGCCTTTGCCATGGTGCCAACATTGATGGTACTCACGCCACTCGTCAACAACGACCCGCTGTTGGTTACGCACGGCATCGCGGCATTCCACTCAGGTGTCAAGGTCGCTTCTTTGATTGCAACAGACGGTTCCGTGCTCGTGGTTGCGACCCCGCTTGCTACAAACTTGCTCCTCGACCACTGCCTGGACTTCGTGCGACACCGCAATTCAGTTCAAGCGAAGCGCGAATTGGCAAAAAAGCGCCGAAGGCGGTTTAAGGCGCTGCGGAGGAAGGAGCTGCGATTGTACCGGCGGGGCTTTGGCGCCCACCTTGAAATTGCGTGCGGACGCTCGTACTGCTTTTTCAGAACGGAGAGTGGCAGGTTCGAATGGCTACCATCCTCGTCGACGCGCGTCGAGAGGCTCGCTCTGCTAGCGGAAGGTTGCATTCCATGCTTTCGTCCCCCCCGCAAGCGGAACGGTCCTACTCCGCCGCCAACCTATGCGAGCTCCGAGACGCCCAATGAGGGGAGAGAGCGCGCTCGATGGGCCAGCCGGCGCGGCGCGAGCGCCGCGCAAGCTGACGCATCATCGTCTGCCATGCGGCGATCCTCTGGTCGACGGCGGTCAAATCTCGCGATTGTCGATCAAACTCGGCGGGCTTCATTCGACGCCGTTTACGCGATCGGCATTCGTTCGTTTTTTCTTTTGCGAGGTGGTGTCCGACCTGTGGTAATGGCTGGCACGGATATCCCTCACGGGTGGTGTTCGCTCCCATCCGTCAACCTCTTTCCCTCTTCTCTTCCTCTCCCCCTCCCCGCCGCTCCCCTCCTCGCCGCACCCGTCTCCCCCACCGCCCTCGCCGCCGCCCCCCCCTCCGCCGCCCCCCCTTCGCGCTGAGGGAGGGTGTAGAGGATGTAGAGTGTAGAGCACTGTAGAGCTGTAGAGATGTAGAGCGCTGGAGAGCGCTGTAGCGCTGTAGAGCTCTACATCCGCCGCGTGACGAACTGCCTGCGTTGTAGAGCGATGTAGAGCGCGATTTTGCTGTAGAGTTTGTTGTAGAGGCAGCTACAGCCAAACCGCCGGGAAGGCAGTGACTCAAAGAGGTCGAGCCGCGCTAATGGGGTGTCTCCGAGCTTACTGGAGCTCTGATGGACGGCCCTGACTATCCCTGACACACAGATAGTCACTCTGACGGCACACAACACCCTATAACTGCGTCATGACCAGCCTGCCATACGTCGCCGGTGCCGCATTCGTCGCTGTGCTTCTTTAGCAGGCGGTGGACTGTCGGCTGCGAGGACGGTCGCATTTGCGCGAGGCGAGGCGAGCATTCAGACGCGCTGCATGCGCCATGCCTAGCGCCAGCGCGTGCGGGAGCTCCGTGGCTGAGCGTTGAGTCCAGGCGAGTTGCGCTGGCCACGATCGCTACGCCGAGCCGAGCTGACGCGCCGAGGCGCCGGCCAGTCGCAGCCGTGAGGCATGCCACAGCAGCAGAGGCACCTGCCACCCATTGGGCGGGCAGACAGAAGGCCAGGGCAGCACTGGCAAGTGCAACGCGCCTCATGTCGGAGAGCGACCGTGCCTCGTTCGCGCTTATGATGTAGAGTTGTTGTAGAGATTTCACGTTGTAGAGCGCCTCTACATCGCTCTACAACACAGGCAGTTCGTCACGCGGCGGATGTAGAGCTCTACAGCTCTACAGCGCTCTCCAGCTCTACAGCTCTACAGCTCTACAGCGCTCTACACTCTACATCCTCTACACCCTCCCTCAGGTTGCGCGCGGCCTGCTTGAACGAATCCTTGTCTGATCCTTGTGCGACATCTCCGAGTTGGCCGCCTTGAGCCGCGCCATCTCGTCCTTCATGAAGAAGTTGTACAAGCTCGGTCGAGCGGCATGGAGGTCGAGTCGAGGAGGGGCCCAATCTGCTGCCGTCCTTCGGGAAATGGGGGGTGCAGGCGAGACACCTACCCCTAAGTAGAGCAGCGACGGCGTCATCGGCATCGCCATCGCCACCGGCACCGCCATCGTCAACGGCAGCGCATGCGCCGGCATCGGCGACAGCATCGGCGATAGCAGCGGGGTGGTGTCGGCATGGGGGAAGGGATTCGGCATTGGAGCGATGGCGGTGGCGGTGGCGGTGGCGGTGGCGGTGGCGGTGGCGGTGGCAAAGGAAAGGTTCCGAGTGCTCGAACGGACCTGCGCCTGAGCCCACTATCACGCCCGAGGCCGCGTCCGGCGTGGTCTGGTCGACCGACAATTCGCGTGCCAGCGCAACCTGTGAGAGGCAAAGGAGCCCCGCGTCCTGCTCGTTGCCTGCCGTAGCTGCAAGCGAGGTACGGTACATGCATGGCTGCCGGGAAGGGGGTGTTCGGTTGGGGGGGTTGATTGACCGACGTTCACCGACGGCGCCTGGTGCGCGAGTATTTTTTTGCGGGGTCCGGGGACCATGGAGGTAGGATTTTGGGCATTTGGGGGGGTTCCTGGCCGCCGGAAATTAAGTAGGCTCTAAGTAGCTGCCGACAGACAGACAGGGCCCGCCGCTCGAACAAACCAGTCACGGCATAGCATGGAGCAATGCATCAAGGACATTGTGCTGGGCGCCAGGCGCGCGTTTTATTCGTAAAATTCTTTTATTGCTTGTTTCCTCGCGTAAAAGGGGGCCGCTTCGCCGACGGGTTGACCTTCGCTTTGACACAAAGACGAAAAACACCATGCCCATTCGCCGCTCCTCGAAACAGCGCAGCAACGGCAGTACCTCTGGCGCCAATCGTAGTGCGGGCAGCGAGACGGGCGTCGGCAGCGGCAGCGAGGCTCCCACTTTCACTGTGGCCGAGCTGGAGGCGCTGAGAAAAGCGCCTTTGCAACTTTCAAAGCTCTCTCCCAAGCAACAAGAAGCCGTTAGCTTCATGCAGCAGCTCATGGAAGACAGCGACGCGGCGTGCCTGTCCTTGGAGCGCTCGGGATCGGCGACGACCTTCAAGGTTTTCGGGACGCCGCGTGAGGAAATTCCTAATCACGGCACCGCGACACCTTCTCGTGCTAAGAAGAAGGGCGTGGGGAGACAGATGCAGCGCCTCGGCCACTTCATCACCAATGATCACCCTGCCTATACAGCGCCGGCGCAAAAGCCGGAGTTCATGAGCACCGTGGGCGTTGAGGACAGACCGGATGCTGCTGAGCCGGTGCCAGTGCCAGTGCCAAAGGTCAGCTCCCAAACGAGCTTCTTTAGCGTCTGCTGTCCCTGCCTCCGAGGCAGAGCAGAGTATGAAAGGCTGTCATAACGCACGCTTCATGCTGGACGCGAGGCCCGTTGCGCGCTGCTGCTGCTTGGTGCACGTGCAGTACGTGAGCGTAAAGTGCCACAGCTACATACTACAACAGTGTTCTCTCAACAGTCAAACTCAGACGAGAGATGGATGGTGGGACGCACCACATCCGACCATGTGGTGACACGTGTCCCCGCCCTGCACGATCTTGGTGTGAGGGATTAGGTGTTTTAGCTGGGCCTGAACGCGGTCTCCCCGCTGGAACGTCCCCCGCTTTCTCGTTTCTGTTTCACCGCGCCTGTTTTTCGCTTTTATTTTACTGTACGCTCGAAATGTACGCGGCCCCGCGGGGCGGCCGGCGGGGGGCTCCGCCCGCCGCTTAGCGCTTTTTCGCCGCACTAGCTTTGATCCTTTGAAAGCATCATGCATATTATAGCAAAAGAAATGACTGCGGGCGCGGGGACTCGCCCGCGGGGAGAGATGTCGCCCACCCGCTATGCACCTGCCACCTCGTAGCGACCTTCTGCGCGACGTCCGAGACACCGAACGATGCCCGAATCTAGATCGAGCCGGCCGCGCGGCTGCCCGCTTGTTCCTCCTCCGCCATCTCGGGGCCAGCGTCCGCCGCGAGCTGCTCCTCCGAATGCGACCGGGCCATCGAGTGGACGGGCACGCGGTACCAGCGGACTGCCCACGGAGAGCAGACAGAGTCGAGCATCGTGGCCTGCAGCCGGCGAAACAGCTCGAAACAGCCATCAATCTCCTCGCGGAAGCCGGAGAGCGACTCCACGGAGAGGCCTAGTGGCACGCCGCAGCCGCCCGCCATCTGGAGGATCCGCTGCAATGCCTACACGGACACACGACTTTCGGCTGTTCGTGACGGGTCCCGCGGGTGGGGCTGTGACGAGGTTTGCGGAGCCTCGCAGCAGACGTCGATCGACTCGAGCACCGCAGCCTCCTTTGTCTTGGACTCGGTGGCGTTTGCCTGTTCGACAACGAGGGAGGGAGTGGCCGCAGGGCGTGTGGCGTCCCCGACGGTGCTGCGCACCTTTGCGAGGATCCGCTCCTCGACCGCAGACGGCACGTGGACTCCGAGCCACTTGACGAACTGGAGCGTCTTTGGCCGCCCCACGGGTGCAAACGTCAGGAGGATCTTGACGGGCCTGCAGCCGCGCCTGCGGCACTCGCCCGCGTAGTCGTGCAGCAGCTTGATGGTCGCCTCAGCGTCGTAGACGGCCTGCGAGATGAACCACTTTGCGCCGTACCCCGCCTTGCGGAGCAGGTTGAGGTGCTCCGTCCCCTTGGTGAGGTGCCGCTCGGCGATGGTGACGCAGCCGAAAGCCATCCCGGGCCGCTCGTTGACCAGCGCGGCCGCGCGCTCCATCGAGATGCGCGGCGTGTCTCCCGAGGAGGAGGGGCCGACGAGGTTGAGCGTGTGGTGGTTGCGCCGCTGGGCGCCGTCGAGCCACGAGGCAAAGGCGGCCTCGTCCGCCTCGGAGCACGCCTTGCGGGGGAGGCAATTGGCATGGTGGCGGCCCGGGGGTTGCGCGGGCGGGGGTGGCTGCGTGCGGGGTGGTGCGGACGCGTATGGAGGCGGGTGCGAGTGTTCGGGGCGGCAGCCGGTGTGCGGGGAGGGGCGGCGGGCGCCTTGTACAGCACGGTGCTCTTGCCCGACGCTGGCGGGAAGTGCTGCGCGTACTCGCTCGGGTCGATCGTGCGCCGAAAGGGGAAGGGGCGCGACTCGGCGTTGCGGGACGACTCGTCTTGGATGTCGTAGACGATGAACCCGTCCGAGGCGTGCGCGCGCGAGCGGGCGACGAACTTGGCGCAAATCTGCGCCGCCTCAGCAGCGGTCGTGCCGTCGCGTGGAGGGGTGGAGCCGAACAAGAAGGTCGGCCGTGCCGGGTCGGCCAGCGCCCTAGCGAGCCACATCGGGTCCCACCCACGCTGCGAGTACGAGCACCCGGCGGGCGCCGCGCGCGGAAGCCGGCGGCTCTCAAGCGCCGCCGTGGCCACCGCCTCCGAAGCGGGCGCGACAGCTCCCTCCTCGCTAGCGGCGTTGGCCTCCCGAGGGCGGCGTCGCACAGCGAGGGAGACGTAGGAAATGGTGGCGCCCGAGTCTCCAAACTCGGTGGCGACCACGTCTCGCAGGTGCAGGCGCACGCGCTCGCCCGCCTCGTCGCCGATCCCAGACGAAGAGAGGATCGAGTTGGAGTGAATCGCCCAGGCGAGGTCGGCATGCTCCTCCGCGCTCCTGCCCTCCGCGACACGAACCTCTGCCGACGTTACGTCGAGCAGCTCGAGAGACGCGCCTACCTCGCCAGCGGCGCGGCGCACCTCGTCGTCCGTCCGCAGGTGGTAGGCCACTGAGGCCGCCATCGCCGCCGCCTCGTCGATGTCGCCCGCCGCTACCGCACGCGAGAGAGCAACCGAAAAGATGGAGGGACCGCCGCTTGGCGGCCGCGCCCACTCATGCACCGGAAGCGCGGCGCCGCCGCCCACCATCAGGTAGACGCCCTCGCCGCCGTCCTTCAGCTCGGTCGCGCGGAGGCGAAGGAAGCTGACGAGGTCGACGTGCGCTTGGTCGCGCCACTCTGCAGCCACGTCGGCCGCCGTGTGGCGCTCCATGGCAAGGACAGCGTCGGCGGAGAGCCGAGGCGCCTCCGAGAGCCAGTGCAGCGTTATGAACGATAGGCTGAGGCTGAGGCTGGCGGGCGGGAACAGGGGCTCGTAGAAGGAGCGCGGCACAAATGAAGTGAAGCAGGGCAGCTCGGCCGCCGAGACGGTTTGCGCCAGAACGGTCCAGTCGTTGAGCGGAAGGTCCTCGAACGCATACGAGATTGCCTCGCCGGGTCGTCGCCCCATGAACTCGGAGATCACAAGCCGGGCGACGCTCACCGCGTTCGCACCTGCCGCAACGCCGAGATCGGCCACTACGAACGGCTCGCCGCGCTGCTGCAGCGCGGCGAGCCGCTCGATCGCGGCCAGCAGCGCAGGTCGCGCGATCTCGTGAGCGCTGACTTGTCCCGAGGACGTCTCGTTGTACAGCGTGCCCAGCATCGTGCTCATCGTCAAGAGGCCCCCGCCCGCGCTCAAACAAAAGAAATCAGAATGACTGCCCGTACGCCCCCAGAACCCGCTCGCTCTCACAAACAATGACACCACCACCCCACTGCTCGGGGTCCGGCGTCTCTCTCTCTCTCTCTCTCTCTCTCTCTCTCTCTCTCTCTCTCTCTCTCTCTCCTCTCGTATTACCCTCACGTCCGTTTGAGTATCGCGGGGGGCACGTGGGGCATGCAGCGTGGCGGCGCGGCGGCGGCGCGCGCGCGTCATCGACAGGCGTGCACGCCGAGGGCTCGGCGGAGGTGTCACTTGCGGTTGAGGTCGCAAAAGGGGTGCTTGAGCGCCTCGGCCGGCTTCAGCCGCTTGGCCGGGTCGAGGGTGAGCGCCTTGTCGAGAAAGTCGGCCAGCATCACAACCTTGCGCGCCTCGGCCTCGCTGAGCTTTGCGCCTTGCGAGAGGAGCGAGCGCAGGTCGTGCCCCGGGATGGCGCGCTGCTCGAACTTGACGAGGCGGATCACCTTGAGGGGAGGGGAGGGGCGTGGGGCGCGGGAGGCGGGCGGGGCGAGGGGGGAGGCGGGCGGCGCGCGGGAAGGCTCGCACGGCGCGGCGCGCGCGCGGGCGCGGGTCCCTCTCTGGCGCGACATCTCGGGGGCTGCATCTCGTGTGTACTGGAGTCAGGAGGAGGTCGCGGCAGCGATGCGGCGAGGTGTGGGGCCCCGAGCACTTACGGCCAGCAAGGGCGAGGGTGAGAGCCCTGTGTGGGTGGAAGGCCCCCCCCCCCCGGGGGGGGGGGGGGGGGGTGTTGCACCTCGCGGCCGGTGACGCGGTCGCGCTCCTTGTAGAGGAAGTCGTAGTCGGGGTCAAAGTGCAGCTCTGCAAAGATGCCCTTGCGGATGAGCTTGTGCGGCATCTTGCCCTTCACCTCCTGGATGAGCTTGAGCATCGAGTTGTTCGAGTTGCCCATGAACATGATGCGGCCGGTGTAGAGCTCAAACAGCGACACGGCGGCGGCCCAAGCGTCGATCGGGCACGAAAAGTGCAGGCCCATCATGATCTCGGGGGCGCGGTAAAAGCGCGAGACCATGTACGGGGTGAGCTCCTGGTCGTCGGCCTCCACCGCGGAGCCGAAGTCGCACACCTTGAGCAGGTTGTACTTTTCGTTGACGACGATGTTGTCCGGCTTGAGGTCGGCGTGCACGATGCCCAGCTTCTCCATGTGCCGCAGCGCGGTGAACAGCTGGCGCGAGTAGGCGCGCACCGCGTCTATCTGGATGCCGCGCTTGTGCCCAAACTGCTTCACAGCGGAGCGCAGGTTCTGGTGCAGCGCCTCGAAGACCATGCAGAGGTGGTCCTGCGGGGCGGGGCGGGGCCGGT